AGATAGTAGACCTTTGTCTGAGGAAGAGCAGGTGAAGATTTTTTCCCACATTTGTGGGTTGTCTCTTCACACTGCTGGTGGTTTCTCTTGCTGTGCAGAATAGCTACTTTCTTATATTGATTCAGTACAAATAACCATAGACTGGGTACATAGACTGGCAAACAAACTTCTAGCAAAGAGTAAACCGATAAAAACACAATCCATCACAAATTAGTTGGTAAATAGAAGAATTTCATTTTGATTTTGCAATATGTGCTACTGCTACATAGAGGTAGCAGTTTCAGGTAAAAGTCAGTTTCCCACTTTGCCACTTTTACTGGGGGAGAGTGTGACCAGAGTAAGAGAAGAAAGCAAGAAGCAACATTTCTCGAGTGCCCCCCTGTCCCAGGTACAACAGTATGTGTCCTATGTGCTTATCTCAATGAATTCCAACCCACACCTCTCAAGGGAGACTGTATTAATTTCTTATGGACCAAAAATTTGAATTTAGGGAAATTAATTCACCCAAGATTATTTCAGCTAATTAGGGACAGAGATGGGATTAAGTCCTTTTCTTTCTTTCTTTCTTTCTTTCTTTCTTTCTTTCTTTCTTTCTTTCTTTCTTTCTGGACATATCCACACTTCACCATGCTCCTTTGCAGTGATTTCAAATGTAATAAAACCAGTACACAGAGAGGAATTTAAGTCACTTTAGATCAAGTAGTACAGAAACTTAACTTTGTTTTCATGTTTCAGCTTTTCTAAATTCAGCCTATCCTAGAACATAACATAATACCAAACAAAAGGCAAGATCACACAGTGAAGAGGAAACACCTGTAGGTCAGACATAGGCTTGCCTTTCACCTGATCACAGTTGCTCAAAATGAACAGGTGAGCCCTGTTGATCACATACTGGAAAAACCTTGCCTTTTGATTTATAAATCTGGACTCTGAAAGGTGATGTATTGATAGCAATTGTTTATAGCAACTGTGTGTATTTGTAGTATTTATTAACTTGAGTTATATTCTTTTTAGAATTTATACATTAACCATGGTAATGATAATCATACAGCGTCAGAAGTTTAATCAAATGTTTTATCTGAGAACATGTAAAATTAGGTTTGCAATGCAATCTATGACTATGTTATATTTGTTAATATTCTCTTACTAAGTATGGAGTTCTGCCAGAGCAGTATGATAGGCAAAGTACAGCTACTAGAGTGAAACCTGACTAAAGAGATTACCAGCAGCTCTTCTAAAAAGTGGTTGGTTTGGCAACAAGTGGTCAGAAATGGAAAATCTAGAAATGATTCTGTCCGTGTTTATATTTTTAAAGAAAGCTATTTATTAAATTCCCTAAGTGTTCTAATTCTTTAGCATGGTATATACATTCAAGTAATGTCCTCATTTCAAAATAGTCAATTCTGAAAGAAAAATTCTCTGATCAATATGGATCATGGTGATAGGGATCCATAAGTTTTGTTTCCTCTTTTTCTCATCAGATGCTACAGATGATTTGGTTGTTCTTCTTGTTCTAGATACTTCTGGACACCGTGTAAATGCATCAGATATGTATCCAATCCCCAATACCTTAGAATATGGAAACAGAACTTACAAAATAATTAATGCAAATATGACTTGGTATGCAGCAATAAAAGCCTGCCTGATGCATGGAGCAGAACTTGTGAGCATTGCAGACCAGTATCATCAGTCCTTCCTCACCGTTGTCCTCAACCGGCTAGGACGTGCCCACTGGATTGGACTGTTCACCACTAACGTAGGTGTCCTAAGTCCTTTGGAACATCTTTGCATAATTAGATTTCACATCTACCTCTTAATGACAAGATGTAGCCACAGAAATTTGCACAGAAAATAATTTACTAATACATAATAACACTAAATATAAAGTTTAAAGGGTTGGTTTATACAAAAACTGCTAACTGACCTTAGGAACAACCTATGACTACAGAATAAGAGTGTCCATCTTTTCAGGATAAACATTAACTTGCTTAATTTTTTTTTTTTTTTTTTTTGGTACTTGGAATCAAACTCAGGACCTTGTACTTTCAAGGCAGGCAGCGGCACC